GAAGAGAGTCTCAAAGATGTGTGACTGACCCGCAATCCTAACCACTATTCAAATCTCAAATGGCTCACAACATGCTAATACACATCCAGAAGCAGCAGCAGGAAACAAGCCATGAATGATGCCACCTAGTGAACCACATACAAGGTGGTCACATGGAATGTTGCTCACATTGTATCAGCAATGACTCCCATAAAGTCGACGATCATGTTCTTCTTGGGCGAGTCTCTCTCAACAAAGGAAAGAAGTGACTAAAACGACACAAATGTGCAGCCAAGATCATACTTATGTCCAACAATTCCCAGATGTAATTGTGCAGTAGGAAAATAGTCAGCTGCCTGATGCCAAAAAGGAGGCCCGAAGCAGACGAATGTATCATACTCAGGAGACAACAGGAAGTTGCCAGTAAAGTCTAGGCATTCCAGAATGCCTGCAAATGTCTCTCCTTGGGATGTTACTGGAGTTTATCACAAAAGGGCTAATGAGACTGATGAGAACAGACCTGCTGAGAGCTCCTAAGAGTTGGGTAAACCAGCCAGACAAACAATTGAAGCTGAAAGTTCAGATATTGCACCCACTTGGAAAACAGGCACTCGAAAACCCTACCAAAAAAATTCTGTCAGTAATTGAAAAATTCAATACCTACAGTGGAGCCAACTTTGTCCTGAGCCAAGAGATCTGGCAGGAGAGAAGCTGAACTCCAAGACTGCTGGTATGATTCATTGTATGATATCATGTTATGGTATGATATTATGGTATGATAAAGTCTTCCCTGAGTGTGCCTAAATGTCTCAGAAAAGCAATTAAATGTTAATTCATGGCTGGCATTGTGCTTATAGATGGATCCTGCATTATCCCCACAAAAACCACTACTTTAAACATTGCTTGTCTGATATATTGTATTTTAAATCACTCTCAGAACACACTAATAAAGATAGCCAGAGAACTGTCCACAACTGGGCACCTTCAGATCAATACACACTAGACATCAGGAACAATGGCATTCTTGTAACACAGGGAGATTTGATAAACTCTTTAATACTATGAGGTCAATTGGTCACCATTACCTGGACGCATTTGTGTGTCTACTTACAAGTCCTATACATTTTTCCCTTATCATGACAGGCTTAGTCTGTATTTATTAAACAGTTTATGAGCCACGCAATGCTGCTAGGTCATTTTCGATCCAAGGATATTAGTGTTAGAAACAACCTTGCAGAACTTTGGTGCTCACACTGTTTAATTTGTGTAATCAAAGATGCCATGACTGAGTTAAGATGTACAGGTTTCCTAAGTGGACACTTAAATGCTTGATAAATGCTTGAGCTGGCATGTTTGGCATAACACACACAATCAGAAAATTGGTTCAAAACTGGTCCTCATTAAACAAACTTATGAAATGTAACCTTGACATATGAGAGCAAATAAAACTTAAATTGTTCATAACTTGAAATATGAACACACATGCACATACACTATTAGCTTTCCAAGTGCAAAATTCACTTGCTCTCTCCTAGGTTTACTGCTACCAGGTGGAAGCGAAGCTTGTTTATAATTCGTGGATTTGGTTAACCTTTGCACTGCACAGAACATCGTATGATGTTTTAGGTACACTGCTTTGTAGCATTTGAAACTCTTACAAGTATATATTGTTCAATCAGTATTTGAGTTCTCCAGTAAACCTCTGCCACCTTGAAAAGTGACTTGATTTTTCAAGCTTTTTCCTATGCTCAGGGTGCCCTTGCAGTGCACAAGGCAAGGCATATATAATGTTCTCATTAGAGGTCATAAGAGTGATAGCACTAAAAATTCTGGAAGAGAATGGGCTCGTGAACAGACATTCTCAGTATGTCTATCCTAGCTGGATGACACTATCTTCAGTGACTCCAAAGCACCGTGTCTGACCCTCCAGGTGCACCAAAGTCCTTGTGCTGAGGGTATTATATATCAATTTCTTGGCTCGAGGTCATAAGCTTTTAAGGCACACAAGACATATAACCTCTGAGAATGACAGCTTACCAAAATATTTACTTGAAAGAACATTGTTCAACAAGTTGTATGTACAACAGAACAAAATAATTTACTTGCAAAATTCATTAATAAAAATTATTTTCAGGCAATAAATTTCAGGCAATTTTGTTTATCAAAAATCAACAATATTGCATAGGATTTTTTTAAAGCTATAAAAATAATTTACCTATTGATATAGAACTGTACTATGTATAAAATTTGTGAACTATGTAAGCAATCCTCTTCAATAAAAACTTCAAACTTATTATAAACAGAAAATAAATTAAAATAAACTGGAATGGTGCTTAATATGAACGAAGCATAATGCACTTTCTATTTCATATATGGATTTCCATTATCTCTTCTTTTTTCTTCACATATTAATTTACAACCCCCCCCCCCCCCACACACACACATTCACAATCAACAAACTGGGAAAGATGCAAAGACATGCCACTAAGTGGCTCCCAGAACTGAAGGACAAGAGCTACAAAGAGAGGGTAGAGGCATTAAATATGCTAAAACTAGAAGATAGAAGAAAAGAGGCAATATGATAACTATATACAAAATAGTGACAGGAATCGATAAAATTGATAGGGAAGAATTCCTGAGACCTGGAACTTCGAGAATAAGGTCATAGATTTAAACTAACAAAACAAAGTGCTGGAGAAATACAAGAAAATTCACTTTCACAGAGTGGTAGACGGTTGGAACAAGTTAGATGAGAAAGCGGTGGAGGCCAAAACCATCAGTAGTTTCAAAGCGTTATATGACAAAGAGAACTGGGAAGATGGGACACCACGGGGTGTAGGTCCAATTCTGTAACTATACTTAGGTAATTACACACACACATCACATCCCACCTACACATGCACACACACACATACCTACCTACCATCAAGAAGATTCTTCACCATTATCAATTATACCCACCCTCAAAAAGTCATAGATTCGGCTAAGAAAACAAAGGTAACGAAAAAATGTGCATGAATATTTTTTTGCCAAGTGGTAGACGGATGAAATAATTTAAACAAGAGGGCTACGTTTGCCAAAATTGTTGAGTGCTTGAAGATCTCATATGACACATTATAGGGAAGATGAGACACCACGAGAAAACGTCTCGTATATAACTTCAATAATTACATTTAGATAATTACAGTCTCTCAGTTGCTCTCTCAAAGCTTGAAGGTTGTCAACAGAGCCTTCCAGACTAATGACAAGACATCTTGTCTGTATTAGCATGTTCCAATAACAGCCAAGTTACTGTAATGTTACTTCTTATGGCCAACTATTAACAAAGCTTAATTTGTGTCATGTATATGTATGTATATATATATACATACATACATACACACAAAAATACAAAAGCATTCTGATCATTTTCCCTCTCCTTGAGGTTCCTACTTGTATATGTCCATTTCTTTGTATGTGGTTCCTAATGTGCTATGTATTTGTCCTAATGTGGTTCCTAATGTGCTATATATACCGTATCACATTAATGTGATACAGTATATATCAATGAAAAATCCACTAGGGCAGGGCTGTGAGATGGACGTGAACCTATGACCCCGGCATTGCCATGACAAGTCCTCGGTCTAGTAGTAGAGTATGCAGCTTGGCAATGCCGGGGTCATAGGTTCGCACCCACCTCACAGCCTAGTGGGTTTTCCTACTGTAATGTTAAATCCATTCAAATCTGAATTTTTTGGCCAGGATGAAATAAAAATATAAAATCCTCTAGCTACTAGGCAAAAATGACCTTGCCTACCGAGCCAAGTGCTTATGCAGACGACAAGTCATAATATAGCCTAAGCTACTCTATTCCTTTGAGATGTATTTTTTTTCTTGTCTCAATAAACTTACTTGAACTTGAAGTCATAATAATGTGGCTGAAGATATGATGACCAAACCATACACCAGAAGATGATGTGACAACAACGTTTTGGTCCATCCTAGACCATTATCAAGTTGATTGTGATAATGGTTCAGGATGGACCGAAACGTCGTCATCTCTTCATCATCTGGTGTGTGGTTTGGTCATCCTTGTGCTTATATTCTGGCTATTAGGTTTAAGACATATACATCAATTCATCCTCCTGAAAGGATAGCAATTATAATAAGTATTTGGTTAAAAGTACCACTATGTAACAATGGGTCACCAATAATTCACTTTTTTACTTTTAATTTTACAGACCAGAAAATTAAAACTAAAAACTAAGCTTAAATATTGCTAGGGCAAGAATAGCACAATTATACTATATTAGGCCTCAGATACAGTAGTATATATTAGGCCTAGGATTGCTAGGAGTGGTTGAAATCTATATTTATGTTGCCATTAAAAAGTTGGCCAAAACTCGGTAATACAAAAGTGAACATTTTGGTTGTCCATCACTACATATTGTTACTTTCAACCAAATAGTTACTATACTTATTTTCATTTTAAGAGGATGGAGTGATTATATATATATGCATATATATATGTATGTATACAGTATTATATATATAATATATATAATTATACTGTATATAATATATATATATATATATAAAATACAGTATACTGTACTGTATATATAAATTTATTTATTATATATTTATTCAAAGAAATTTTATTACAATTTTATTTACTTTTTAAAAGAATTAGAATTGCTAACGCATAATTAACATTTAATTCACCTCACACAATTTTTAGAAATATCGGTCCAAAGACTTTAATTGATGCCAAAGGTCTCTTTATCAAAGCTGTTTGAATATTACCCACTTCTTGAAGAATTATAACTGTATGACTGCAAAAAAATAATTGTAGGTATGAGGACAGGATTACTATTTTCCACAAAATAAAACATTCTTTCATTGCAAAGAATTCTTCAGAGAGGCTAAAATTCCACTTGAGTTTACTTGCACTTTATGTGATGATGTTAGAATAGTAAGCAAAACCTATTCATTCATTCGTTCATTAACACTTATGGCATACTTTGATGCCCTTCACTCACTTTCTGCAGCTTCAAATGAGTGGAAGTGAACAGGTTGTACATAGTTGACTAGCGCAGATATCTCGGCCCCCGCCTCCTCCTCTGCATCTGTCGTGCCCCGCTCCTGCAGGGAAGAAAGAGGTTTCTCTATATTTAACTATGTAATGAGCGAAAGTTAACAGGTTATACATAGTTAATTCACTTTCGTAAACTGATTGGTAGACGGTTGGGACAAGTTAGGTAAGGAGGTGGTGGAGGCCAAAACTGTCAGTAGTTTCAAAGCGTTATGTGACAAACGAGTGCTGGGAAGATGGGACCCCACGAGCATAGTTCTCATTTCATAACTACATGTAGATAATTACACATAGGTAATTACAGACATCTTGGTACTTGCTTGTCTGCATCAGTAGTGCAACTAGGAAGGAAAGTAGTTTCACTAAACCACAAAAGAAGCATTTTGGTCAATAAAAACATATTTTGACCAAATGGAGAAAGTTCATGAAATCCAAAGCACTGTTTATACAACCAAAGAAATGCATACTTAATAATTCCCATTGTCGAGGTCAGCAACCCTGAACCGAAGCTTGTATCATAGCCCTCCTATGCCAACTACGGACCTTTCCCAGGATACAACTCGCAACAGTTGCTAAACTCCCAGGTACTTACTTTACTGCTCGGTAAACAGAGGCATCAGGTGAAAAGGAAACAGGACCCAACTGTTAAGATAGCTCTAATTACTGTGTGTGTAACCTATAGTATGTGCTTTACCAGAAATTATCAAACATCTGACATTCTAAATATAAATACTATATATATTGTATTGAAAAGAATAATTCAAGATTGCTTACAGGGCTCGTTACTTCTCGTTCGTGTATTTCTTCTGGTGTGAGCGCACCTTCTTCGTCGGAGCTTGAGCTTACGACGTCTTCCACTCCTCCATCCGGTATCTCTCCTGTTGCATGGATTTGACAAAATTAGTCACTAAAGTTTCTTAAACCAAATATACACAAAGTTTAAACAATTTGAGAATATAAAACTAAGTCAAACATATTTAACAGCCTACAAAACACACGTACTGTATTACAGTACTACACAGCTCTTATCTTTACTACTAATAAACTACATTACAGTTATTCCCAGAATAATTACTTACTCTGTCTGAGGCCAACATACATGTATTGTAAATGAACTAAAGTGCAAATACTGTATTTAAATTTCAAACAATACACTTACACATGCTTGAAATTATTTGAACTTGAATCAAGTAGCTTTTCTGGGGTAGCCCCTTGGTGGCCCCTGGTGGCTCATAGTGGCCCCCCTGGTCACATGGTCTGCAGAGCCACTGGGTGGCTCCCAGTAGCCCCTGGTGGCCCCTGATGGCCCCTGGTGGCCCCTGATGGCCCCTGATGGCCCCCAGTGGTCCCCTGGTGCCCCCCCTAGTGGCTCTCAGTGGCCTCTGGTGGGTTCCTGGGCTCTCTCTGGCCCCCAGTGGCTCTCGATAGCCCCCGGAGGCTCCCCATAGCCCCCGGTGACCCCCAGTGGCTCCCGGTGACCTCAATATTCCATTTTTGTTTTTTAAAGAATTATCTTAATAGCAAAAACTTAAAAGTCCAGTACAAGGAAACCAATACATCATCCTAGCAGGTAGTAAGGAACAGGCTCTTACTATTAAATATATGTTCATAAACACCAAAACTAAACTCTTTCTGACAAAAACACTAATACAGTAGCAGCCAGAAATACACATCTCCCTAATAGGTATACGATACATGTATAAATATATTCTTAAGCCAGGGCATCTATATAGACACTGGAACACCCAAAGAGGGAAACAAAAACAGCTAAAGAAGTGCTCAAGTCTATTAACCAGTTTCTGCAAGTGTCTGTTAACCTGGGCATCTGCTACTGAACTGTCCTTCCGAAACTCTTCCTGCATAACCAGGTATGACCAACTTGTTCACTGCTTAAGTTTTTATCTTCAGGAAAGTTAAGAGCAGTTAAGAGCAGAAAGTTATTGATGGCAGCAATATTTAAATAGTGGGTCAGTTCAAAGTTTCCTCTGACACTATGCTTCTAGTCACTTACATTAAAAAAGATTGAAATCTAACTAAACGGTGCTCATAATTTTTTTTATAAGTTGTAGATTCTATGAGCTTTATGGATCATGACTTCTAATGTGCAATCCTGCCTTCAATTTCAACCCTTCTTTTGATGTAACAAAGATCTCCCTTCAGAAACAGTTTCAGTTATAACAGTGACTATCTTACATGGGCCAAAAGTATATGAGGGAAAGACTCAGCCACAGCAGGTCCTGCAAGGTACTAGGAATGAGATCCATTCATAACATGGCCTGCAGGGCACTAGGGAGTCTGACCCACCCATCAAATGACCTGCAGGGCACTAGGGAGTCTGACCCATCCATCACATAGCCTGCAGGGCACTAGGGAGTCTGACCCATCCATCACATAGCCTGCAGGGCACTAGGGAGTCTGACCCATCCATCACATAGCCTGCAGGGCACTAGGGAGTCTGACCCACCCATCAAATGACCTGCAGGGCACTAGGGAGTCTGTCTCATCCATCACATAGCCTGCAGGGCACTAGGGAGTTTGACCCACCCATCACATGACCTGCTATGTCCTGCAGGATACTAGAGAGCATGACCAACTTACAACATGATTTAAACAATCTTCATAATGACAAAACTCACATTTATAAACAAAATATAGTTTATGACACATTTTGCTTAATCAGAATGTGTAAATATTTTTCATGGCACATTACATTACTAGAATGGGAAGGTTAACATATAGACCAGTATAACAATGTAATAAGGATACTAAACGAATAAATATGCGAGCAGTTGCTATGACTATAGAAGCTTGATATATAAGATCATAAATGGGTCAATTTTTTCTGTATCCATGGTGTCAACCAAGAGAGTGGCACTGCCACTATATGAAAACAATGGTTTCAAAGTCTATTATGCTTCAACTATGAACGGGAAATACAGAAGCATGGTGGTCTTCTCAAGATGAGCATTAAAGACGAAAAATTATCGAGGCCAAATGATGGGATTAAACCCGCATAGAATCCAGAGATACGGGGTTCAATCCCACTGTGTGACCTCAATATGTTCTCACAGATACACAAGAAAATCACATTCTTGTGATTTCATTGTATAAGTGTTGGATAATTATGCTCATGATTTATGATATGGTACACGTGAGCAAGTTACCTTATAAATTCTAATTTTCAGGACCTTATTATCAAAGGTACAAATCTTAACACAATGCAAACCCATATTAATCATATCTCCTTTTTTTTTTCTCAGATTATCTGGATATAGAAATTTTTGGGTCTTCTTCCCCATTTAACTGGAACACGTTTGATTAACAGGGGGTTACAGCAATCATCCACGAAGTCTCCGCACAAAAATTTAACTGGTTTTCTACATATACACTGGTGCGTTTATATTAAAATACAATTACATACACTACTGTATTCATAGCGCTTAAAACAAATACCATAAGAAACCAAAAATTACAGCTCATGATCTTTTATTAGTTATCCAGATTCCAGTTATTGAGACTATTTTGGAAAACTGGAGCTACCAACTGGTCCAGACAATTGAAGCCACACTATATTAGAAGTTTTTGAAGCTATAGCATATTCTTCATAAAAGATCAAGTACCTTATACCAATGACCAACATAAGATCAGCAAAAAAAAAAAAAAAAATAAAAGAGAAAAAAAAAATTGGCATTGTAAAGCTCCAAGTTTAAAATTAGTTTTCAAAAGCCAATGATCAGGAACACTACAGAGTAACAAAATAGTTATTGCCTCATGCCATTTCATCACATTAAAATAGGTCTAAATACAAAGTAACAATACACAGAACACTGAGCATGTAAATATCCTCGTTATAAGCACACAAAGGCAACAGATAAAATATGGACATATAAAATACATGGAAACTTGCTAAGATATAACAACAAAATACTTTCAATAAATTGGGGAGGAAATGTCAGCACTGTGGAAAAAATACCCGACAGACCCCTGGAACATTATCTAACACAAGGCAAACAAACCAAATAAGATTTCAAGTAAGAAAACTGGGTAAGACAAAAGGAACAGCAACATTCTAAAGTAACGCAATAACACATGGCTCTAGAGGGTGTAATGTAAATACAGTACTGTACATCTACTATGGTTCTCAGAACTGTACACATGAAACTTTAGTCCTAAACAGGTGCAAAATACAGTGCTCGAATAAATGGCCTTTAAAACATGCTTGTCTTTGATTATTTTGTTTTACACAGGTGGGTACAGGAGATGACGACTTTTTGACTTGTGATAGCAGGCTGAGGGCTTTTCCTTCCCATACTTCATGTTGAGCCTTATCTTATTATTTATATACAGGTCCTTGTTGGTGAGCTAAATTATTAAACAAATCAGCTAATTCAAGAAAGTATTATTGAACTGAAAAAAGGAGATCATTATTCTGGCAGTAGCATCTCCGGGGACAGCTAGAATTTGCAACAAGAAATTGCAAAAATAGAAGGAAAGAAAAACAGATAGCTCAGTAAAGTTGTAATAGTGATTTAAAGAAGAAAAATGGTATCTTGAAGGTTAAAAGATCAATTTTGGAGGTAGAAAGTACAAATTTGGGAAAAGTTGTTGAACATGATTCAATTGAGCAAGTAGTGCACATTCAACAGGGAAAATGAAGTTTGGACAGATCAGCCGGAGGTCACAAATATAACAGAGGAGTGTAAAGTTTAAAAAAAATTAAAGATAATACAGTAGAGGAGTGTAAAGCTTAAATAAAAGTAACTCTTCTTCCTCCTACTTCCTCCCTCCCTCCCTACTTCCTCCCTCCCTCCCTCCCTACTTCCTCCCTCCCTCCATCCCTACTTCCTTCCTTTCTTCCTTCCTCCCTCCCTCCATCCCTACTTCCTTCTTTTCTTCCTTCCTCCCCTACTTCCTTCCTCCCTCCCTACTTCCTTCTTCCCTCCCTATTTCCTTCCTTCCTTCCTTCCTTCCTTCTTTCCTTCCTTCCTTCCTTCCTTCCTTCCTTCCTTCCTTCCGTCCTTCCTTCCTTCCTTCCTTCCTTCCTTCCTTCCTTCCTTCCTTCCTTCCTTCCTTCCTTCCTTCCTTCCTTCCTTCCTTCCTTCCTTCCTTCCTTCCTTCCTTCCTTCCTTCCTTCCTTCCTTCCTTCACTTCCTTCCTTCACTTCCTTCCTTCCTCCCTCCTTCCCTCCCTCCCTCCCTCCTCCCTCCCTCCTCCCTCCCTCCTCCCTCCTCCCTCCCTCCCTCCCTCCCTCCCTCCCTTCCTCCCTCCCTCCCTCCCTCCCCTCCCTCCCTCCTCCCTCCCTCCCTTCCTCCCTACTTCCTCCTCCTTCATCATCTACCCTTCTTCCACCCTTCCTCCTTCACCCACCCATCTCCTCTCCCACATTTTCCTGCACAGTGTTCAAGAGCATAACAAAGGTATAGAGCAAACAAGAGGAGTAGATGGTTGGAGTAGACTACACAAGAAGGTAAGAAGTTATAATACCACTGAGCTACACAATCATACACAAACATGCAGGATTGACCTCGCCGCTCTTAAATGATATTTATCAATAACGTACAGATAATAAAACCCGAAGTATAATAAGCTTCGTTATACTATCATGCTCAAACTCCAGCGGACACAAGGTTGGTAACACTACGGATCATTGTGCAACTCTTACCTATCAGCCTGGCCACCAGGTGGGGAAAGGCTAGGTCGAAAATAACCATAATTAGCCACTTTTACCCACAGCATTAAGAGTTAGAGATAAACTAGGAAATTTGGATAACAGTTCTATATGTCCTAAGTATTCTCATGATGTCCAGCCTGACATTTGCAGAATTATAAAATCCACCCTTAAACAAGGCCAAAAAATTTGTTTTAAGTTTTTAGACCAATCCTATTTTTTTTTTACCTTGCCAACATTAAGCTTTTTCATCCCCAAAATTGTTACAAATATTTTAACATTTCTGCTGTATAACTGAATTTTGCATATCTGTATAATGCCATAAAAATTCTGAACCACATACAAGATCTGCCCTCCTATCAAAATGTTGAGCAATCAACCCTACCTTTACATGTTAAAGTAGCTCGGTCACACTTGAGTCGGTCAGTCTATGCACATCATCACAAGGTTGATCAACAACACCTACATCATCAACTTTAATGGACTTTTCAAATGGCCTTGCAACGTAATTCTGCCCAAAATGCTATACGTGTTAGTGGTTTTGCAAGAATGTTATAAAACCAGTGTTATATACTCTCAAAACCCAATGTACCTTCTTGTATATAAATAAATAATTGAGGCAGGGAGTGTGTACCATAAGCACATAATAAGTACTTTTTTATTTTTTTATTTTAAGAGTGATTGCATTTTTAACTTCCAAATCCCTGCAAATTCTCAACATACAGTGGAATCTCAATTCGGCAATTCTACAGTTGGAACACACTTTTAATGCCAGAGTTACTCACCTGATACGACAAACTAGAGTTCGCTGAAGCAGGGGATGTGTGGATTTGCTTAGGATGTTGGGACCGAGTTCATAGATACAGGCAACATTGCAAGATAGTTTTCCCTTGGGAATGCCACTGAGCATATTTAAAACCAAGTTCTATGGTTATTTTTTTCTTCCCCCCCCCCAAATGTAGAGGGTTTTTGTTCAGTAAAATATGGATCCTCTTTCCTCTGAAAATTGGATTTTGAGGCATGGGCGATATGCTAGATGTGGTTAAATCTTTTACAGACAGGTTCTCTTGGTTGTTGCCCTTCATATAATTAAAGGTCATAATTGAAGGTTGAAATTATAATTTCATTTGTTACAATCAGCCCATAGAGTGTGAGAACTATTAGGTATGAATGACAACTCTTAATATGGTTCCAATCACATTTTAATGATTTTTGTTTAGAATTTTTTGTTGGCCATTTAGGAATTTTTCTTAGGAATTTTGGATTTTTTTCTTGTGCATTTTGACATTTTTTGTTAGGCATTTTGTAATTGCTATTTGGTCGCATATCTGGTTGCAAAGAATCCCTCACCGAAACGAATTGGGGTTGGTCCCATATCGTTCTTTGAATTGAGGTTGTACTGTATTCCTCCACTAAATTATTAACCTCAAATTCTTCCTAAAATGCTATTCATGATTGTGATTTTGTAAGAACAAACCATGTACACTCCAAAATTGTTGCAAAACCTTTTAACCTTTTGTTACAAACCCTTTAACCTTTTGTAAATATATACAATATAAATAAATCAATCCACGCTAAGTCTCAATGTGATGGCAATCACGGTTCTTTTGCTCAGAGAGCAGTAATGTAATTTGCATAGATATAATTGATTTCTAATTATTACTTAGTAATTATTTAATTGATGTTACAAGATGAGAGCTACACTCATGGTGTCCTGTCTGATGGCATTGTGTGGAACACATCTTTTGTATTATAATAAGTTGGTAGATCAGTGGTGCAGTGAGAGAGTTCTTCTACTGTCTCCCGCCTTCTAATTCAAAGCCCTTGAAACCTCTCCTGCCATGGTGGGGTATTAAGTTCAAACAGCCTGGCCACACGAGCACCGACGGCAGAGGCACTCACTTTTCTAAATAAATTTTGGGTGTGAAACCATAAACACTATGTTTTATTTGGCCTTATTAATAAACTAAAATACTGTATACATTTATCTTTAAAGAGAATAACAGTGGGAATTATTAATCTGAAAATAATTTTATTATTTGCTTACTTAAAATAGTACTGAGGCTCTATTACAAACACTAGCAATGACTGTTGTAAAATTACAGAAAAGTAAAAATGAATATACTGTATAGAAATATAGTACTGTACTCAATAAATGCATTAATCATATAGAGAAATAAATTTCTAAACATACATACCATTAGCTACTTCATTCTCTTCTTCTGAAGATTCTCTTGATCCTTCTTTCTCTAGCAACGGCCTAGGAATCTCTCCGTTACCTTGCATTTCTGTGGGTCTCGATTCCCCAGTCTGATTAAGTTCAACGTGAAACTGTGAGTCGCCTCCAGGTGTGTTTCTCTTGTGTGAGTGATGGTGATGAGTGCGGTGTTTCTTCTTATTCTTAATTATAATTTTACGTTTCAAACTTGATGGTGGTGGAAGTGGATTGCCAGGTTCAAGCTGTAAATAAAACAGAGTATACAAGAGTAAAAGGAATAACAAAATACAGTAAATATATAGTGATGATGAGAGCCCAGGAACTGAAATCCATTTGATTCCAAATTTGTTTTTGGCCTCCTAGCATGGAACTACTGGAACCATTGGGCAATATTGGTGAACAAAAAGTGACATTATTCAGGTCATCATTTGATTGATCTCATTGCACTAACAATCTCAATGCATGCCAATGACTACATTCAATGAGTTAAAAGAAGAAGTAACTGAGAAAATGTGCATGAAAACTATTATGGAACAGTACAACATTACCATAAAAGTTAAGTTTTCTCGATAATGAGAACTTTATTGTCACATTCGGAACAAATGATGCTGCTCATCTGCATCCACTGCATTTCATACACCAGATGCATTTAAACAGAGAGAGAGCAGAGGATGCCGCCACACTTGGTACGATGATAGCCATGTATTTTTATGAATTCTTGACTAGCATCATAAATTAATCATTAACCAAGCAATGGCTTTATGTATGCCATATAACTGATCAGTCACAGCACCCCTGTAATACAACACCTATAATGGCATACAGCCACAGCACCCCTGTAATACAACACCTATAATGGCATACAGCCACAGCACCCCTGTAATACAACACCTATAATGGCATACAGCCACAGCACCCCTGTAATACAACACCTATAATGGCATACAGCCACAGCACCCCTGTAATACAACACCTATAATGGCATACAGCCACAGCACCCCTGTAATACAACACCTATAATGGCATACAGCCACAGCACCCCTGTAATACAACACCTATAATGGCATACAGCCACAGCACCCCTGTAATACAACACCTATAATGGCATACAGCCACAGCACCCCTGTAACACCTCCCCTTAATGGCATACAACCACAGCACTGAATAACACCACTCCTATAATGGCATATTAACATCAATTTATCCTTAATCTACAATAATGAAAACCAAAAACAGCTTACCTGATAAGCATCTAATGCAGAGTCCAGCAACATATCACCAAAAAATTCTCGACAATAACTAGCGATTTTGGCTTGTTGTCGAGGGTTACAGTGATTCTCAAACGATAGAACCACAGGCCACTCTGATGTCTTGAAGGCTGACTCTGCTATACCTTCAATCACTTCCTGTAAACCAAAATATACAGCAAGTTAATTAAATAAAGCATTTCATTTAAACTATTATTAAACCCAGCAAATTTATTATGAGTCAGGTAATTATCAGGAGAAAGCACTAAGCCAGTATGACTATATAGCACTTGGAAGGAGCTGGGATATAAGGACAAGGAAATGAGATATGATGAAGAGCTGGGAATATGAGGAAAGGAAATTTATTATGCAGAAACACAGTACATAATAAAATACAATATTAACATTGGCAACTATATTTTAACAAGTCAAATGCACTGTTTATTATTATACCACATTTCTGGCTAACTTTTTGTAACAATATAAAGTTGTTAATTTGGATATGAGCTCAGAGAACTAGCTTTAGTGACAGCATCTCTCAGCAGTTTACTTAGAAGTTAGCAAATCTTATAGAGAAGGATGTGGAAAGAGGAGGAGGAGGAGGGGTGTTTCTCCATATTTATCTAGTCAGAAGCATAATTTAATAATTTATTTTGTTAGGGAACAGACAGCCCGTATATGTATATACAATAAACTGGTGTCAAGGTCTCTCCCAGGGTTGAGCTATTGACCCTTCCCAGGACACAACCTTACAACAATTGCCTAACTACCAGGTACATGTTTACTACAAGATGAACAGAAACATTAGATAAAAGGAAATGTGCCCAACCAATTCTGTCCCACCAAAGATTTGAATCCGGATCTCTGATTGTAAGTCGAGAATGAACCAATGAGTGTTCCACTGTGCACCTTCACGTGACCTTGACTCCAGCACTCATGATCCTTGTTTAATGTTAACTAACTGTTAAATGAAAGCACTTAAACTGACCTTGGCACTAATTTCTGGCACTAATGTGAAGCCATGGACAATGACAGGTTCTTCCAGTCTACCATTCCAGAAGTCAAGCTCAACGCAGCGACAGCCAGCCAATAGACACTGCCGGTACATTTCCACCGAGGACCTACCCGTGAGCTGGTGACCTGTAGAAATAGAAGGTTAGTATTAATGTTAGGCTTTCAGGAGTATTATTTAAATATGTATACAGTACTTTGCCATTGTTAGGGACAAGAAGCCTATAAGGCTTATCAAGTCCCTCTTTCCATTGACAGACCATCCCAAAAATGTTACCACAACAATTGAGTAACTTCTAGGTTACTCACAATTGCTAGGTTACTTCACAGCTGTAAAAATTATTTACAGCTAGGTGAACAAAAGCATTGGGTGTACAAAAAGTAGGAAACAGCCAAATGCCTAGCATTCCAGAGAACTTAACCTAGGACCAAAGACCAATCAGGAGAGGGAGCCTCACAATACAATTTTAACACTTGGTACAATAGCTAAAAGGTCACTCTTACATTGGCTACTACCTATCACACTACCTCATCAAGAAGAAGCAGGGATGAGAATAGGCAAGCATGAGGGCACATAGCATGACAAAAACAGCTGCAGTTAAAGCAGATTTATAGAAGATACACTAAATCCCTTCACCTTGGCCCACTCGGGTTGCCACTGGGAGGAAAAAAAAAAAAAATCATTGCAGGCAAAGAACTTAATCAGACCTGTGCTGAAGGGATTATTTGAAAATGGAGCTACCAGAATTCCACGCCCTTTTTTTTTTGAGTTTTCAGTTGCATATATGTTTGGAGACCATTCAAGGTTGTTTGCATTTGTGTTGCTCATGTGGCCCCACAAAGTGAGGTGATTTGATGAAATAACTGTGCCCATGATTACCTTCAAAGTGCCGTCAGGACGGTGGTCAAATAGCCTTGGCTATCATCGTCTTTTGTACGGTCAATGATGGTCGAGTGGATAAGGCACTGGGGTGTGGAGTTTCCAGTTGCATATATGCTTGGAGACCATTCAAGCTTGTTTGCATGCATGCATGCATGCATATTCATACATACATACATACATACATACATACATACATACATACATACATATATATATTTATGTATTATTAAATATGACCGAAAAAGTAAGATTAATAATTCTAACACGAATTTTCTCAATCTTTCGTACATTACGCTTCACTGTTGGAGGTAAATCAAAAATCACTTCTCCAAAATTCATTTTTATTTTTGGTCTATGGAATATGGACCAATAGGAATATGGAATATGGACCAATAGGCTTTCTACAAACACTTCTATTCAATACCCATTGTTTCTGTTCTGTCTTGTGTTGATACTTTTAATACCCTATTAATATCCCCTCCTGTTCTGTCTTGTGTTAATGCCACATCACCCTTCCCACCTCACTCAAATGTAGATATAAAATCAGAGATACGTTCTAATCAGTTGTGTATTTGTGAAGTCTTTGAAAATGTAATAAGTTTTACGAAACGCGCCCGTGTCGCGTCAGACTAGAAATAAAAATGAATTTTGGAGAAGTGATTTTTTATTTACCTCCAACAGTGAAGCGTAATGTACGAAAGATTGAGAAAATTCGTGTTAGAATTATTAATCTTACTTTTTCGGTCATATTTAATAATATATGTCTACAGGAAAGACTGCTACCAAAATATACTAATATATATATGTATATATAGTGCCTAAGATATATTTATGGTTTATATATATATAGAAACCAATGCCTAAAATAATCCAGAGATACTGCATGAAAAGCCCGCGATAACATTTTGGCTGATCCTGAACAATTTGCAATGACATACCTATGAGGTACGTATTGTGGGAAGAGTTAATAAAGTAGTGAGCGAGAGGTTGGTCCATGTCCTCATACTGGTCAAGTTTCTCCATCGACATAACAGTATTTTCATCAGACATCAGATACTTGAGAAACCCCTCACAGCTCAACACATCTGTAAGCAGAAAATGAAGACAATTTACTTAATGTTACAAGAACATTAATATTTGGGTAAAGAAGATAATTGTATTACAGTACAAAAATACAGTAATACATTACAGTACTTCAGAAATAACAATACTGTACTAAAATAATACATAGAATTTTTGTTTAAATAAATTACTACCATCATCTAAATCTTTAAGCCATTATAGTGTTGAAAGCTTCCAGATAAGTTTCCAAAATACAATATACCGAGGTATAGGTAATTTATTTGCTGTTGATTAAACTGCCCATTCACAAGTGCAGGGGTTAGGCATCATATTTCGGTCAATGAACAAGTATAAACTCAAGTGTATAATATCTATAGTTATATTTTATAACAGCATCGAAGTCATTCAGTAACCACAATGAATTTCAAGAAAAACAAAGTATCACAACATCAGGGTAATTAATGGAAATCATAAATTCATGTAAATCTTACAATTTGTTAGTTGATAATGCTTAATGCAGTGGGGGATGTTATGAGATGTGCAATACAACACCCTATTTTATTTTTGTTTTCATAAAAAAGCAATACAGGTACAATACTGTATTTCTGGGCTATAGGAGAGGGTGGCGAGGGTTTGGACAGTGGCTGTCTTGAAAACAAATGATGGGTTATGTAACCTCCAGACTGAATCTAAGTGTGTGTAATGATGTCATAAGTCACTGACACTACACTACTGGGTTCTTGGACTAATTTGCTTTGTGTCCAGTCTCTACAAACTGTTGGAATGTGCTATCTACTGCCTTAACTTGTGGGGTGAGAAATCTGCCATTTTCTTGTCATCCTTGAGTAGCTTCTGACCAGTTTAAAACACACTGTTGCATCCTACAATCAAAAACCTTGGGAGAATGGTGCATTAAGTCAACAATCTTGACTATATTTCCATCACTGTATTAGGAACTATGACAGGCATAATATCTGGGATTTTTCAGTGTACACAGATGGGCCAAACACTCCCCTAAACCCACTTTGGCTGTGTCATACTTCGAGTGGTTCTTATTTTATCACATGAAAGCTTTTCCCCTGGTCATTCCAGCTTTGCCCAGCAATTGCCAGCTTCTCCAACATGTCACTTGCTCCCCTGAGAGGTGGTAATGTTTGTCAATTCCAAGCCCGCACTTCTAGTCTCGCCACGCAAACCACAGATGTTCCACCAGCTAGATGACATTCAGTCAGAGTGCCTCCAATATCTTAACAAGTCAAGTTTGCACCTGCCTGCAAGGATTGCACCTGCCTGCAAGGAAGCCTCTCCTATAACAGAATCAGAGGGGAATGAGGTTGTTGATGCGGTGGTGTCCAAGTGTCACTGTGTTTCTGGAGGGCCTCTTACTTGGTCAACATGACAGGCTGCCACCCTTCAGGCAGGCTTATTCTGCCCTTTGGCAGACTACTGCAGTCCACAAGTATGGCAGACTTTTCTGATCCTTTACTTAACCCCACGAGTCAGTTACTACAATCAACTTCTTAATTTTTACCACACAAGGCTATATATTGCCCACCTGCAGCTCATAGCCCATCTCTATCATCTCCAGATGAAGAACTCTCCATCCAGTTGATGTCCTCAGCAGGATGGAATGATAGACCACCACCTTCTATGGCCTCATTTCTACTGTCAGGACTTACCTCTACAGCGACCTCTCCCATGCTTCATTATGGTGCTGACCAGAGTGCATGTTTTGCTTTCCAAACACGAGACTATGATGGTGTATCTGAGGCTGTATCAACATAATTAAGGTAAAGGGTCCTTAAGAACCTGAAAGCCACAATAGATTTCCAGATTTGGTACCACTTTTATTACAGTGTAAGAAGTCAATGGTTTTTAAAATATAAAATAATTTTGAGTAATATTTTGGTTAACGATATTAAAAATACTGAGTTGGTCTGGATTTTCTACTCGTGTTGAAAATAAAAAAAAAAGTGGATAACTCTCTTAATACTGACCAATTTTTCTGGTAGCAAAATCCATAAAGAATTTTAATGTTTCAATTCATTTGCATTCCAGATTTTTTAAGGGTATGCTGTATTAGTCTTAAAGCAATAAAAGGTTAGTCAAATACTGCAATTCAACTTTCAACTGCAAAATTTTACAAAAGTACGGCAATAAGTATTGTAAGTTACAAATACAGATCAACTAATGAACCACACAACAAATTATACTATTCAAATTAACAAAATCATTTACCACTAACAAATAAAATGTTTAGCTGCAATAAATGAATTTCAAACATGCAGATGTGAAGGATACCTAGGATATATTCACCACCAATATCCCATTTCCCACTTCATGGGGTAGGACTCCTTAGACCAGAGGAAACAGGAAAGCAATACAATATAAGCTCGCTCGTACGAACCTCAGTGGAGCAAATCTCTGGTTTGAATGAATTCTGGTCCAGTCATAGAACCGCCTGCAGTGCACGGCTGTTCATTGCAGGTGGGACTTGTTCGTCTGAGCCGTGGATGCTCCACAGGCCTCCAACCTATCTATGGCCAATATTTATATAAACAAAAACTTTAAAATAAGCCCAAATACGATAAATTATTATTCAAATAATATCAAAATAAAAATAACTTCAAAATACACAATTTACTACCAAAATAGGTGATTTTTCTCATATTTGAATATATAATGAATACAGGTCAGGCAGACGAGTTTAGACTGCATACTAGATGATACAATATACTTTTGGTCCTGATGTGAAGGATTTTATCGCTAAAGCTTGTAATTTTATGCTCTTATTAGTAATACTGCATGTATGTAATTAACAAGATGTCTCAGAACAGCAGTCATGGAGCTGAACTTCTTTACAGCAAAACTTTTTAAATATTGATCAGAAGCTGGCCTGTTGTAACTTATCTCATCAGGTAAGCTGGTGGTGCCCATGGTTCCCACACTGATGTCAGCACAACAGCCTGGTCAATTGGGTAGCCTTTCCTTTGGAGGTGTTTATCAAGATCCTTCTTGAAGATAATTAGAGGTCTATTGGAAATTTCCCTTACATTTAGTAATTACTTAAGTGTAGTTACAGGATGAGAGCTACACTCATGGTGTCCCGTCTTCCCAGTACTCTTTTGTTGTATAATGCTTTGAAATGACTGATGGTTTTGGCCTCTACCACCTTTTCACTTAGCTTGTTTCAACCGTCTACCACTCTGATTGAAAAAGAAAACTTTCTAATATTTTCGGTACCTTTGTTTCCATAGCTTTAATCTGTGTCCTCTTGTTCATGAAGTTGCTGGTTTCAGTAGTGAGGGATGTTCAAAACATTTTGCTCATAGAACTATCTTTTAGCATGAAAATAGCCCTTACTTTTCAATGGATCTACTTTTACATTCTACTTTTTTAGTTTTATAAACTATTATTCAAGTGTGCAGATTTCGATCCAGTTCTCGAATCTTTTCCAGGCAAAGATTATGATGTATCTCTCTCACCTACATTCCAGGGAATACAATTTTGGGCATTGTCAATAACTTAGACATTTCATAAATTGGATTTGAGCACAAAATATTCTCTGCACATTTTCCAGGTCAGCAAGTGTCAGCCTTAAATATGGAGCAGTTAATGTGTAACAGTATTCAACCCAAGAGGGTACTGGTGTTATAAAGTGTCACCACTGGTTTGGTATTTCTTCCTTGAAAGGGGATTTTTATCCTGCCTGTATTTTGTCTTGCGAGTAACAGTTACTTTGTTACTTTGTTTAAGGGTTACTCTGTAACCCTTAAATGGCTCGGCTAATTAAAAGTTCTCCATTCTGGTGCGCATGGCAAAATATAGTTCACCAAATAAATAAAACAAAAAATTTCATTTGCTGATTCGAGTACAAGAGATAATTGCAGATAGTGACAAACTGTTTATGGGTTAAATATGTATAAAGTACTTGAACATGATCTCTTATACAGGGTAGCTGTTTTATGTTTTCATTCTATTCTATGGTATAGTTTAATGGAGTGTTATATGTGGTTTCAATTTTAAATTTCAATTTTTTTTCACAGGATAAGAGCTGGAACTTTAATATTGTAAACAATATTATGGCCCCCTGGAAAATTGGTTGATATTAATGTGTAGGTTTGCTGTCTTCTCTCTCTATGGATGCTACTTTAAAAAATTCTTCTGCAAACAATAATATACTCCAGACTTTACTATGTTGAGAATAACATCTTGTATTTAGTTTGAAAGGAAATTTAACGAAACCTACCTGAAATATTATTAGTGGCCTTGCAAGAAGTTGCATTTTAATATCCAACATTTGTACTTTAACAACCCATTGTACCTTCTTGTATGTAAATAGATAAATAAATATTCCAGTTATGATGTATATTACACCATGATGCATTTATTACACCATTATTACATTTACGAAAGCTTTCGCAGTCTGTATTCATTACGTCACCATTTTGCTCAATGTCCAGTATATCATAAGACCATATGATATTGGTCCAGTAAACATATATGATGTTGATATGATAGTGCTATTCAAGTACTATTATTTTGCAATTGCTCTGCTGACTGCTTTGTGCAGAGAAGCCATTTCATCTATTTTTAAGAGCATCTTGGATGTCACTGGTGTTTACAGTCAGCCAGGGGTCATAGTGCACAGGCATGCCAGCTATGGCTGCTTAATCTTCATTTGGATTAGTATGACATTTTGGATTACGAGTTGAAGTAGGTGTCACACTCATGAAATACAGTAGTGGAATTCACATTCTTCAGTATGTTTAGCGATTCACTGAAAGTTATATTGTATCTTTAAGTATTATAATAAGTTGTTGTCATCAATGAACATTACTTCTCCCCCTGAGAAAAGGCCCAACACTGTACTATTGGCAATTTTTATTTGGATTTTGCATGCATGTAGAGTCTTTCAGCTTCACTAATGACTTTGTCCTGGGCTTTATATAAAGTTTAAATTTTAACATTTTTGTTACTGTTATTCTAATCAGCCTTTCTCTTCAATTTTAGGAGAGCATGG